TTGATTATTTAGAAACATATTGCTTCATTTAAAAACATTTGGAGGATTTTTGAGTTACTCTTTGTCTCTGATTTCTTGCTTAGATCCATTGTCAGATAACATACCCTGTATGATTTCAATCCTTGGGTATTTGTTAATACTTTCTTTATGGCCCGATGTATAGTCAATTTTGGTAGATATTTCACATCTACTTAAAAGAATGTTTAGTTTTCAGTTATTACATCCAGTGTTCTATATGTTATTGGCATTTATACTGTTTGGTATTCTTTGAGATTTTTGGTTCTGTGGTTTGGTGTCTGATATTAGTACAGGAAAATTCAAAGTCATTATTGTTTCAATATTTCTTCTGTTCCTTTCTCTCTTTCTTCTCCTTCTGGTATTCCCATCACATGTATATCATACCTTTAGTAGTTGTCCCACAGTCCTTGGATATTCTGTTTTTTTTTTTCCTCCAGTCTTTGTTCTCTTTCTTGAATTGTGGGTTTTGGGGAGAAAGACCACAGAGGTAAAGTGCCATTCTTATCACATCATATCAAGGGTACATGTTATCAGCATGAAATCATTGTTGATGACCTGGCTGAGGAAATGTTTGTCAGATTCCTCTTTTATTTTGTATTTTTTGGAAGAAAGTCACTAATGACAGCCCACACTTAAGGAGCGGAGAGTTATGCTCCATGCCTTTGAGCTTGGAGCACCTACATGAATTATTTGCAATTCTGTACACATTTGCACAAATATGCACAGATTTGTCTTTTATCCCCTATTTATCTATCCATCTATTTATTTAATCATTTATTTTTAAAAGATTTTATTTATGTATTTGAGAGAGAGAGAGCATGAGCAGGGCCAGAGTGAGAGGGAGAAGCAGACTCCCCACTGAGCAGGGAGCCCAATGTGGGGCTTGATTCCAGGACCCTGGGATCATGACCTGAGCCAAAGGCAGATGCTTAACCAACTGAGCCATCCAGGCACCATATTTGATCATTTATTTATGTTAGTATGAACTCGCAGATATTTTATACTCTGTTATAATCCAACACTAATTTACTTTTTGCTTAACTTGTTCCAGCTTTGGCTGTTGGTTGCCTTTTCAGTTGGCTCCTGTGTTCCTATGTTCCTTTGCCATCATTAATGTAAGCTTATTTTTTTTAGCACTTCCTTAATTTTTGGCCTACAAGATACTCCAGGCTCATCTTGCATATTCCCAACCACAGTCCCAAGAATCAGCCATTTCTTCAAGGATACATCATTCCTTGTATTGGTGGATTTTATCAGAAACCAAGATCTGGGTGCTAGTTGTGCTCATTATTAATGGAGTTTTTGCTTCTCTCAGCTGACAGAGCAAGAAAACATGTGTATGCACATTAACCTGTGTATATATACACACATCTATAAATATTTCTCTGTATATCCATCTATGTGTATCCATTTACAGGATATCATCATGCTGATATCTTCATCTGAATACCTTCAAGTTTTTCTCTTTTGGTTTTCAGTGTTTGAAAATGAAGTGCCTAATTGTGGTTTTCTTTTCATGTAATATGTTTGAGATTCTTAAAGTTACTTGAATGTGTGGCTGAATGTCTTTCAATAGTTTTGGAAAATGTTTGGTCAGTATCTCTTCAAATATTACTTTTGTCCCCCTCTCTCTTTTCCTGGGGAGGTGGGGGAACTCCAGTTGCATAAATGGTAGATTTCTCTATCATATTCTATATGTCTCTAATGGAAATGTCTGCATTTTCTGTTCTTTTATCTCTATGGGCTTCCACCTGGATATTTCCTCTTGATCTATCTTCTAGTTTATTAATTCTGCCTTTTGCATGATGTAATTATTAACTTTGTCTATTCCATTTTTCTTTCAGTAATTTTATTTTTATTTGATTTTTTATAGATAGAGTCCAATTCTGTGATGAAATTTACCAAATTTTCTTTTAGTAAATTAATCTTAGATATTGTAAAGTCCTGATCTGATATCTACATTATCCAAAGCACCTATGGGTCTGTGTCTAGGCTGGCTTATATAAGATAAAGTGTAGAGGTTTGGGCAAGTTATCTTCCTCCAGCATTTAATTTGCTCCTGATAAGCAGTTAGACTATAGCCATATTACCTTGATCCAGTCAATGCTGGTATATTTCCATTTTCTCCTAATTCCTGAATCTTTTTTTTTAATTTAATATCCTTGCTATTTATTTATTTTAATTTTATTACGTTATGCTAGTCACCATACAATACATCATTAGTTTTTGATGTGGTGATCCACGATCCATTGTTTTCATATAACACCCAGTGCTCCATGCAGTACGTGCCCTTCTTAATACCCATCACCAGGCTAACCAATCCCCCCTCCCCTCTAAAACCCTGTTTGTTTCTCAGAGTCCATAGTCTCTCATGGTTCATCTCTCCCTCCGATTCCCCCCCCCTTCATTTTTCCCTTCCTTCTCCTAATGTCCTCCATGCTATTCCTTATGTTCCACAAATAAGTGAAACCATATGATAATTGACTTTCTCTGCTTGACTTATTTCACTTAACATAATCTCCTCCAGTCCCATCCATGTTGATGTAAAAGTTGGGTATTCATCTTTTCTGATGGCTGAGTAATCTTCCATTGTATGTATGGACCACATCTTCTTTATCCATTCATGTGTTGAAGGGCATCTCGGCTCTTTCCACAGTTTGGCTATTGCAGACATTGCTGCTATGAACATTGGGGTGCATATGGCCCTTCTTTTCACTACATCTGTGTCTTTGGGATAAATACCCAGGAGTACAATTGCTGGGTCCTAGCTTGCTTAACAAGACCCTTCCACTTTAGTAGGTGCTAAGATCAGGTTTTGACCCCCCAGCACTATAACTCCATGGAAATCTCTCTTTAGTTGTTAGCTTTTCAGTTCCTGCTTGGCTTCTCAACATGTAACTTATATGTTGACAAATGACTCATTAGGAAATTGTATACAAAATATCAAACTCAATGTATTAGTTTGCTACAGCTGCTATAACAAAGTACCACAAACTGGGTTGCTTACCCAATGGAAATTTATTGTCTCAAGCTCTGGGAACTAGATGTCTGAGATTAAGGTATTGGCAGGGTCTTGCTCTCTCTGAAGGTGCTAGGGAAGGATATGTTCTAGAACTCGCTCTTAAATTTTGGTAGTTCCTTGACTTGTGGAAGCATATGTCCAATCTTACATGGTTTCCTGCATCTCTGTTTCTGTGTCCAAATTCCCCCTTTTTTATAAGTACATAATCATATTGGATTAGGGACATAACCCACTCCAGTATGATCTCACCTTAAAATTACATCTGCAAGACCCTATTTCTAAATAAGGTCATGTTCAGAGAGACTGGGATTTAGGACTTCAACGTTGAAATTTTGGGGGAGATACAATTCAATCCATAACACTCAACACAAAGCATTTCTATTTTCTTCTGTATCTTTGTCCCTTAAATCCTGGCTTTCCTTGTCATTGTTTAATGGCTTCAAGCATTTTTTTTCAAATTATATTCTGTTTTTATAATTATTTTTAGCAAGAAAATTAATCTGATACTAGCTATCCCAGCATGACTGAAGGTATAAATCTGACTAATGCAATTTTTAACATGGTATTTTTTTTTCATTTGAAAACTGAAGGAGAGTAATATAATGACCATATCAGGCATGGGATGCATAGTTACTGGCAAAGAGACAGCTGGGGGTTTCCTGGTTAGGGGAAAATGTTATTGAGATAAGATAAGGGAATTCAGCAAATAAATCTACACACATCCTAGGTAGCCCGTGTGTTTTGGGAGTCTATGTAGGAGGAAATCATTCCATGGTTTCGTCATCATTTTTCTGAGAATTGATTTAACCCCTGGCCAAGCATGAATTGATAAGCTTCTTGTGATTAGCCGTAGACTGCCCATATTCACTGTATTTTAAAATAATTCCTTTTTCCCTCCCCCTGCTGGAAGCATGGGGGAATTTTTCCCTGATATTTACTGTGAGAACTTGGTTCAGCAACTGGAGATAAAACTCACAAAAATGTGAGGACACCCCTATGATTTGGTCCCTCTGAAATTTTTCAACTCACAGCTGTCCACACTGAGCTTTCAACAATTTGTCAACTATAGTTCGGGTTTTCCTGCGTGTGAGTCTCTGCTCCAGTATGCCTTGACACTTTGGGCCACCTTCTGTCTCTCTAATCTTGGGGGCAATATTGGTTTGCTCTGTGTTCTCCCCTCTCTTACAGATTTAAGGAGAGTTTTTGATTCTCAGTCTGGTCAGCTCTTTATTTGTTGATGGAAGCCAACATATTATCTAGTTATACTTGTTAATTATGCCTTTTAACCCATCAGTATACCGTATGATATTTTTCTTCTTTGTTTTTTGATTTGTTAAAGAGTTATGTTAATATTTCTAGTTCTAGTTCTCCTTTTAGTTCTGTCCTTTTTTCTGTTTGTTTGCTTTATATGTTTGAAGTGACAGACAAGTTCTTACCTTGGGGAGTTCATAGTCCAGTTGAAGAGGAAGACGTTATTCAAATAATCTCAGAAATGTAAAATTGCAACTTGGATAAGAGGGAAGGAGGAGAGGAGCATATGTTCTGTGCTCATAAAAACCAGACCCCAAGGTTGTTTGTCAGTCTAGCCAGGTCTTCTTAAACCCCACCAGTAGGCAGAGCATCCAAACAGGCTTGGTATAGTGGTGGTTCTCAATCCCAGCAGCATATTAGAATTATATGGGTGCTTAAAAAAAAAATCCAAGACAAGAACCCACCCCCAGGCTGACCAATTAGACTCTATGGGAATGGGATCTGGCATGTAATATTTTAAAAAATAAATATCCCTGGGGGATGTAAGAGACAGGCTGAATAGAGAACACTGTCTTGGGAATAGAGAGTCCCAGATGCCTTAGCTTCATTGTTTGTCACCTCTTGGTTGTCACCTCTTGGTTTAGCTACCCTTCTGATTTCTGCCTGGTCTCCTGCTTTCAGTTATGAAACTGTTGCTTTGTTCACTCACCTCAGTTCCAGCACCTGGGTTCCTGGCTCATTTGCACGCACATTTGCAATAGGAATCTCTTGCAGCTGATCAGGACCCATGACCTCGGCGTCCACGTAGGTGTGGCCAACACCCACGTCCCTCAGCCGGGGCCTGAGCTACTGAGGTAACTTCTTAATTTGAATGACCTAAAGAGAGAGGGCAATAAGAGGGGTCCAGGATGTGCAAAGTGGGGTCAAAGCTTTCTTGGGGGAGGGGTACAGACACTCCCTGAACCTCTGTGTGACCAGGTGGTGTCTACTGCAGGACACAAGCCCAAGGTTACAGTGGCTCTGAGCTTCTAGGAACCTCCCAAGACAGTGCTCAGAGCTACAAGGACCATATGACTGGCCAAAACACTTGCCTTCAATTTTTTGGTGAATGTCCCCCACTTCTAGGACCAACATATACCCTCTCAATGCCCCTCTCACAAGAACCTCACTCCCTGGCCAACTCTATTTCGCTGCCCAGTGGGGAGCACTCATGGGCCCCAGAGCCCACTCATTTCCCTTTTTATGTCATTCCTACTGTGTCTCAGTTCCTACCTCAGATTGCTCTGTGAGTTCAAAGCTTGTTATAATCCCCACCAAAATCTGTGGGTATTTCCTTTTCCAGATTGAGGGACGATTCATATGCTTTGATAATAAACTGGACAAGACAAGGCACCCACTTCAGTGAGAAAAACTCAGTTCCTCTTCCTCCGTTTATCCTCTTGAGGACTTGGGGGTTTTGCCCCTGAATTCCAGTGTCAGCTGCCAGATCCTACAATGACATCACTTCCTGCCCGGATTCAAACTCCTGCCTGTTACTGGGCTCCCTTGATTGGCCAGGACCTCTGCCTGGCCTGACTCCTGCCCTGTGCCTGCTGCTCTGCCCTTTGTCTCCTCTCCTCTGTCTCTTCTGTTGGGCTTGTGTGGGCTTCTCTGGGGCCCATGGGTGCTTTTGCCTTCTGAGCACCAGAGGGTGGATGCTATGGGTCAGCAGAGGGAGAGATTCCTGACGCCTGATCTGTGTAGAGAGTTGGGAATGCAGAGAAGAAGGAGTGAGGCCTCTGTGGTGGGCGATGGAGGGGCTCTCCTCCCACCACGTGCATAGCGTGGAAGGTCATGGGATGTTGTAAACTTGTCACAGTAAAAAAAAGGATAGGGTTGCAGGAGCCTCAGATTTTGTAGGGATTACGGGAGGGCCTCTTGCAAGCTGATTTGATACCTCTGAGCTCCACTAAAGGCTCAGTCAAGAGGGCTGAAGTTTGGTTATAAGAATCAATGTCTGAAACTTCTAAGAAAATTATCTGTTCAGAACAATGGCTTGTCCAACTACTGAAATCCAGAAGGATTATTTTTTTCCTGTGGGTGTTTATAAAAAGGAGATAGCTAGTGGATCAGGAAGTAGACCCAAGAGCTGGAATGCCTGGATTCAAATGCCAGCTCCTTCCACAGTTTGGCTATTGTGGACATCACTGCTATGAACGCTGGGGTGCAGCTGCCCCTTCTTTTCCCTACATCTGTATCTTTGGGGTAAACATCCAGTAGTGCAACTGCTGAGTCATACGATAGCTCTATTTTTAACATCTTGAGGAGCCAAGATGTCCTTCAACAGATGAATGGATAAAGAAGATGTGGTCCATAAACACAATGGGATATTACTCAGCCATCAAAAAGGATGAATACCCACCATTTGCAGCGACATGGATGGAACTGGAGGGGATTATGCTAAGTGAAATAAGTCAAGCAGAGAAAGACAATTATCATATGGTTTCACTCATATGTGGGACAGAAGGAATAGCACGGAGGATCATAGGGGAAGGGAGGGAAAACTGAATGGGAAGAAATCAGAGAAGGAGACAAACCATGAGAGACTCTGGACTCCAGAAAACAATCAGGGTTAGAGAAGGGAGGGTCGTGGGGGCTGGGGTAGCCGGGTGATGGGCATTAAGGAGGGCACATGTTGTGATGAGCACTGGGTGTTATACGCAACTAATGAATCATTGAACACTACATCAAAAACTAATGATGTACTATATGTTGGCTAACAACATAATAAAAAGAAATGCCAGCTCCTCTACTTCAGAGCTGTGTGACTTTGGGCGATTTGGGTAACTTCTTGTGCCTCAGTTTCTCTATCTACAAAATGTAGATAATTGTAGAATCTACCCTGTAGGGCTTTAATGAAACTTAAATGAGTTAATATTTGCAAATCTCTTGGAATAGTACCTGGCACGTAGTGTCATACAAGAATTTGTTAAAAAAAAATTTAAGTATCCTCTTCAATGGTAGCCGACAGTGTCCTTAACAATATCCCAACATTTACAATTTCAGTAAGTTTCAACTACTTCAGTAAGACACAATATGTTTCATTTAGCTGGTTTGTGTGTGTGAACGAGCATGCCCAGTGTGTACATGCACACTTTTTTTTTTTTTTAAAGATTTTATTTATTTATTTGACAGAGACAGAGATAGCGAGAGCAGGAACACAAGCAGCGGGAGTGGGAGAGGGAGAAGCAGGCTTCCCGCGGAGCAGGGAGCCCGATATGGGACTCGATCCCAGGACCCTGGGATCATGACCTGAGCCGAAGGCAGACGCTTAACGACTGAGCCACCCAGGCGCCCCATGCACACGTTTTGATAGTATCTCTTTATTCAGATTCATGGCTTATACCCAAAGTTCAGGGAATAAAAACAATTGTTCATAGAACCAGCTCTCTGGTGATTTTGAATGACTCGGGCACAAATGAAAGACATCTAGAGTGATTGATTTCAAACTAAGCTCTCTGGCATCTCCTCAGACTCTCCTGGGAGTTGGGGTATGGTGGGGGAGAAAATAAAGGTATAGATGAGGTTCTTATTCCTTCATCCACTTCAATTGGAAGAGCTTTGTATCCATCTCTTCTATCCTTGAACAAACATTTCCATGGTTAAGAAACACTTAAATACAGCTGATCTAGAGAAAGATTTGAGTCTGTGTGCCCCTCAGACAATTAACTACAGGGATTATTTCTCATCGCCAATCTCTTGATGAGTTTGGGATGAAAGTGAGTTCAAGGTTGTTCTCCACAGCAAGAACCTGGGGTGAACATTTTCCAGAAGTGACAGGTCACACACCTTGATGAGCAACCAGGTAGATCAGGTTAAAACTCCCTTATAAAAATTACAAAGCTTAACCAATAACTGTGATCGAAAGGAAAGACACCCCCTCTCCACATGGGGGCTGAAGGAAAACCTATGGGTTGGGCCAGCACAGTCCTCCAAGAGTGTTTGCAAAGGACTGTAACACACTAGACTCACGCTTGGACGAAGCTGCCATATTCCTGCCTCAGGGAGCCCCAGCCTGTCTAACTTAGAAAATGCTCACTGTGGACATTACTATATACCTGCCCTGGCCCTCTGGAAACCACAACAAAACACTCATCATACATCTGATTTGGGCCAATGTTGCCCCATTCTAGGACTATAAAGTAATAAAAACCATTCAGGAAAAAGTATACACTAACATATTAAACATATACATCAGCTATAAAATATGCTTCAATTTTTCAAATATTTTTAATTTTTAAAATGCACCTTAAAATCAAAGAAATAGGAGTTTTGCAAATTTGGACCCCCAGCTATTATATCAAATTATTAGTCATAACCAGTTTAATGTTGCACAACACTCGCTGAATATGATGGTTTGAGTTTTGAAATAAGTAAACTTTAACCAGTGGACAGTAATGATCGGGTTGAAGTCCCACCGGGGACAAACCTAACGTAAACGTAAACGTAAGATCAAATAATCATTGTAGAGAAGAGTATTTAATTTCCAGATTGGTTAGTACGTATCTAGTTCCTTCAGAAGTCAGTTACAATCATTGAGATCATTGTTAAAATAAAGTGCATCATGATTCTGACAGATAATGATAGATAATGATAATTATCTAGCAAGATAATGATAATTTTTTTCTTTTATTTTTAGTATCTCTTCCTTTCATTTTTTAAATTCTGTTTCATTGGGTAGAATTTCCACAACAATCTTAAATATAGTGCCTAATAGAGGTCATCTTCATCTTTCCTTAATTTTGATAGAAATATCTCCAGTGATTAATTATTAGATGTAACCCTGGCTGTTGGCCTTAACTACATTTTATTTATTGTTTTGCAGAAATATATATCTCTAGTTTACTAAAACATTTGGAAAGTAGAAACAGAAGCAGAATTTAATCTGATGGCTTTTTTGGTATCTATAGAGAGGATAGTATAATTATTTTTTTATTTAACATATTACATTAGCACTGTGTGATAGTAACAATTTGAGTACTAAATCACACCAAGAATCTAGCATTTGCAAAAGGGGGGGTATCAAAACATAGCACTGTTTTGTAAAGTGAATTATTTGCTTTGCGAATTACCTATGACAAGCTTCTAAACCCAGAAAGCCAGTCTCTATGAGTCAGCATGTGGTTGGGGTCTCGGGGACCAGAGACTAATTATAAAAGCTCCAGCCTAGGCAGGGACACTATTAGGAGGTCAGACCTGCCAGAAGAAATCAATTATAGGAGATGAACCTTGTTTGGATGTGCTTTGTGCACCGCCCCCTCAGGTCCAAGGCCTTGCTTCCTGGTGCAAAGATCATGAATGCCAGAACCTAGCATTTGTGGGCCACTTGGCACACACTGTCCCCCTGTCACAGGAGTCTTCACCATTCTGGTCAGCACAGAATTAGCGACAAGACATGGGAAGGACGTGGAGCTAAGGACTCCTCTTTATGGAGCCACTGACTTCAGCCAGGATGGCAGATTGCAGCAAATCCAATAATCCTCTGGAAGAAAACAGGCACTTGTGCACATTTGCACATACATAACTCGTACACTTATACCCCTCCCCTCACATTAGGGGATTTGTTGAGCGTCGTGGTGGCTTAACATGGGCTTATTTCATGAGTGAGTGAATGAGCAAGTAAACTCAGTCGTCCAAGTACGTCCTCATACTCATCACATACGATGTCCGCTCACAGATACGCAGGCAAGTGGGGGAGCACCCTCCCCACAGCTCTCCACACATGTGTCAACTGCTCTCCCTGTCCCCTCCAAGCTGTGAAACACACCCTCTAGAAGTCTCTTCAACAGTCAGGATGCTTTCAACCTCAAGGGTCAAAAATCTCAATCCAAAAAGCC